ACAACCAAACTATAGAAGGTGGTGAGGTAACCCTCTTATAAAGAAGATCCTAGGTTACCTAGAACGTGTAGAAGGCAAGCAACTACGCTGCCGAAGGAGAACACTGGTGAAGCTGAGACCAACCCCACACAACACCCTAGGATACCTAAACTCCTCGACGACGCCCTCGAGAGGAAGAATGACGCAAGGCGTCGTCACTGTCTAGCAACACCAGACAAGGGTTTTCACCCGGAACTCAGACGCGGAGAGATCCACAACAATGTCTTCAAGAAGAGAGCGGCACCCCGAGTATTCCTGTCACTGGCGCAAAAGCGCGGAGCTTTCGCTCGGCACCCCACCCTGTCACAACGTGGGATCCTACGACAAGCGCGTTGTTCCCAGACCCTAGATCCAGATTTGGAATAATTTAGTCCATAACTTCAGTGATGCCTTAGATGTCAGTCGCAATGATGATCATCGTCAACTCACCAGGTCGCATAAAGAGGGCTGATTATCACACCGCCATCTAGAGAACCAAGGCCGCGTGTTGTGTTTCCCCTCAACTTGATGGGGATGCGAGCGCAACAAAAGTTTTGCCAGTCAGCCCCGTCATTAGCAGGAAAAGAAAAAGAAATTTGACAGGGGCAACCTATAGTGGTGTGGGGCCCTACCAGAAGTTCTCCATCAATCCCTGTGGTTAAAGCGTATAGCATCATAAGGTTATGATCATGTCCTCCTCTAGACTTATGAGGCTATCGTAAGGTTGACTCATGGCGAGGACCGGTGATGTCTAGGTGCATTTTAAGCAATCTCCCCTATAAAAATTTCCAAATTCGCTAACCTTCATTTGGAGCACCGATCGACCTCACGACCTTAGGTGTGAATTCCAATTGAAAATTGCAAACATATTTACAACTTTCACTTATTAAATATTTCACATGCATCCATTCTTTTAGTTCACATTGCATGTAAAAATGTTTACCAGAAAGTTACAAGCTTGTGGTTCATGCATCTCCTGCTCCAACCTCGGGCATCGACGAATATGGCGTCCACTCCAGCGCTGCCACATTAAAAGCTAGGCGAGCGGTCCACTTCCCTCTACCGCGTGGAAGCCTCGACTCCAATGATGACAAGTCAATTGTTGGGCGCCGGCAGCCTTCTTTAGGTGCCTGCATGGTCAAGAGCATCCTCTCCAACGCCGGAGCGCTCACTAGCAACAGCTGCACCAAGTCGAAGCAGTACCCCTGCCCTGAGAAGCCGCTGAACTCCACCTCACGCAGGTACTTCAACGAGACCACACCATGTTTCCAGCCGCTGGAGACGCCGCCGGTGTTGTAGTCCTTCTCACTTTGACCATCCTTCGGTGGTGATACATCCAATTCAAACGAGAAATACGGTCAGCGACCTTGAAACTCTGAGTCAACGTTCACAGAGAAAAATATATATACGGTGATTAATGAAACATTACAGGCTCACCAGGTGAACGTCTAGGTGGAGATACCGGAGATTAATGCATCGCTGTAGGAGACCCGTCGCAATTGCTCTGAAGTGGCTGCCTTTTTTTGAATAAAATCTTATCGTCAAATTTGTGATGCCGGGGAATTGGGGTATCGCTGTTATTTCATCATCTACCTCTTTTTCTAAAGTGCACCTGCATGCATACCAAAAAATAAAATCACAAATTGCAGTAATATTTCCACATGTAGCGAACATACATTTGCATGAGACTAATTACCTACCTCTGGACCTGGTATGTATAAGTCGTGTCGAACGTTAGGGCTACACTCTTGTAGTAGTTGGATCGTGTGACCTTGGAGGTTGAGCTGCTGGCAATAGCCGAGCTGTATGGAGGAATTCAGTGTCTCCAGCGCCGGTGCTCGGATGGTGAGGCTGGTGTGCTCGTCTTCGTCGTCGTACTCCATGAAGTGGAACCCGAGGCGGAGCGCGGAGAGCCGTGGGGCGTCGACAACCAATCGCCTCACGGAGAGGTCGTCCAGACCCAAGAACTCTAGCGCGCTGCCATTGAGCTGCAGCTGCTTCACCCCGGACAGATTCCGGAGTGTTAGCCTTCGCAGCCTCGGGCAGCACAAGGAGGACGATAGCAGGCTGCCGAGACGGTCATCGTCGCCGTCGATGAATTTTATGGTGCATAGAGTCAGGTCCGTTAGCGCATGAAACTCCACCGTCGGCAGGAGCAGAAGGAAGCCATAGTACAACTCCAGTGACATCCTTGTCGCCCTCGTGGAGCGGAGCCGGATCCCCTGACGTACGGCCCCCTGCCGTTGGGCCGCTGACGGGTGGGTCCGGGCCCACACGTCAGTGTGTGGGCCGTA